ACCACTGAGCTCAGAGGAGGAGAGCCAGAGTCACGAGCTGTTACATTAAAATCAAATTTCTTTATCTGTTCATAATCAAAGGATTTTACTGCGGAAATCATGCCATTTTCTGAATTCAGGGACACCAAAGAAGACAGAGACGCACCATTAATTTCCATTTCCTCCAGGAAGTATGAAATCCGGGCGTTTTGGCCCCAGTCTGCATCAGTCGCACGTACAGTGAATATAGAAAATCCAGGTGAGTTATTCTCAGGTATTGTTCTACTATATTCTGATTCGTCAAACTTTGGGGGGTTGTCATTGACGTCGGAAACTTTGACCTGAATTGTTTTTCTGTTTGAAAGCGGCGGGGAGCCTTGATCAGTCACTGTTAGAGTAATATTATATTCTGAGACACTCTCTCTGTCTAACGCGTCATCAGTCACTATTGTATAATAACCAGACAATGAAGATTCAATTTTAAAAGGTAAATCAGAACTAATAGAACATTCTACTACACCGTTTCTCTCTGAGTCGTCGTCATGAACATTAATCACAGCTAAAGTTGTGCCTGGAGGGGCATCCTCGGAGATTGTGCTTGAAAATGACATGAGCTGAATAACAGGAGAGTTATCATTCACGTCAGTTACTTGGATAATCACTTTACATGTGTCAGAATAGCCTTCCGTGGTCACTAGCCATTACATTTAATTGATGGGATTTAAATATTTCGTAGTCTATATTGCCTATGACTTTAATTTCTCCCGTTTTAACATCTACGTCAAACAGCTGCTTGGCCGCTTTTGAGACGCGAGAAAATGAAAACATGACTTCACTATTGACTCCTGTATCTGCGTCAGTGGCGCTGACGGTGGTGACCACAGTTCCTATTGCAGAGTTTTCTTGAACCTCAGCTTTATACACCTGTTTACTACAGACTGGTGCATTATCGTTTATATCTAGTACAGTGATGTGAATACGTGCTGTTCCTGATCTCTGAGGTGCGCCTCCATCTGAAGCGACCAAAATCAGTGTATGTTCCTCATTTTTCTCTCGATCTAAAGGCGTTTCCAAAACCATCTCCACAAACTGACTCCCGTCAGACTGTGTTTGCATTTCAAGTTTAAAATGATCCGCGGGTTTCAGGTTATATCTAAAAATATCATTTATACCAACATCAGGATCGTCCGCTGTCTCTAATACAAAGCGTGTTCCTGGCGCAGCAGTCTCAACTATGTTTAAAGCGATATCTTCTTTCAGAAAAGCTGGAGTATTGTCGTTCACATCTGTTACCTCCACAGTGACTCGATACAGCTGAATTGGATTCTCCAGAATCACCTCAAAACTAAAACTGCAGGGCGTTGTTTTCTCACACAGCTCCTCTCGGTCGATTCGCTCTTTAACAACAAGGATGCCTTTGTCTCGATTTAAATCCACATATTGTCGACTTTCTTTAGTCACAATGCGAGCGTTCCCCGAGACCAGTCTTTGCACATCTATTCCCAAATCTCCAGCAATATTTCCAACGAAAGATCCCTCCGCCTGCTCTTCGGGAACAGAGTAACGAGCCTGTCCACACACGGACCTCAGCGTAAAGAGACAAAGGAGCGTGAGCCACTGCTCTCTTTGCACGATTTCTCTCAGTGATGCCATTTTGAGAATGAATCCGGGAGAAAAACTGTTGTAGTCCGTTTAAAATACTAGAAGAAAGCAATAGCGAAACACATAAAACCAAAGGGAGTCCCGGCAGTATGAAACCACCGTCCTCTGTACCAATATACAGAGTGACGAATAAGAGGAGGATCATGAGGCAGGACAACAGCCGACAGTCAACAGCGGCGCTCAGAGTCCTAACGGGGTAATGTCCCCTGTCAAATGATTTACACATTAGTCTTATAAAAAAACAAACAGACCAATGAATACGGGCTCTGAAAAAGCTCTATTTACTAATAGCCTATAATATTTAAATCAATGAAAACAATCTAAATGATTATAGTTGTTAATTTTATGTTTTCCACAGTTTTATTTCTTGACGTTGGTGACGTTATGGTAATATATTATTAGACATTTATAATTTTATATTAGTGTTATATTTAAAAAATATTAGTTAATGAGGATTATTATATCAAATGTAGGGAGTAGTTGTGAAAAATGATTTCATACAATACCGTTTCAGTACCAGAGACAGCGTTTACGACACAGTAAATCATGCGGAAAAAAATATACGAAATACTCACCAGGGTTGACATATTGGAGCCTGCAAATTGTTTCTCTAATTGTTGGGCGTCAGTTTCAGCTCCCCCAACGTCCAGTAAACTTTGACTCATGGGCTGCATGTATTTAATGTCACTCTTTCTGGAGTCTGTGTGTCCTGCACGTGTCGTAATTGTACACGTGTGGGAGAGTCGCTGTGCCCAGAGTGTCTGAGTAACGTGGAGGATAATATGGGATCACTGGCAGATTGGAGTGATACAGGATGCGAGACTGTCTCCATCTGTAGATTTTCACTGAGATAATGACCACTACACACGTGATGAACAGAAAGGAGACTACAGCCAGAGCCAGCACTAAGTAAAAAGTCAGGTTGTCATTGTACTCCTTGTCGTGCGTAAAGTCAGTGAACTCAGACAGTACTTCAGGAAAGCTGTCCGCCACCGCCACGTTAACAATGACTGTAGCTGAACGAGAGGGCTGCCCGTTGTCCTCCACTATAACAGTCAGTCTCTGTTTGACTGCATCTTTATCAGTCACTTGGCGGATAGTTCTTATTTCTCCATTCTGTAAGCCCACTTCAAACAGCGCCCTGTCTGCGGCTTTCTGCAGTTTATAGGAGAGCCAGGCATTCTGTCCAGAGTCCACATCCACAGCCACCACTTTAGTGACCAGATAGCCCACATCTGCTGAACGAGGCACCATCTCAGCCACCAGAGAGCCCCCAGTCTGGACTGGGTACAGCACCTGAGGGGCGTTATCGTTCTGATCCTGAACCAGGATTTTCACAGTCACATTGCTGCTGAGAGGAGGAGAGCCTCCGTCCTGCGCTTTGACGCAGAACCGGAAATCCTTGATCTGCTCGTAGTCAAAGGAGCGCACTGCATGGATGACTCCGCTATCTGCACTAACGGACACATATGAGGAGACTGGCACTCCGTTAACAGAGGAGTCCTCCAGTATGTAAGAGACACGCGCGTTCTGGTTCCAGTCAGCGTCTGTGGCTTTCACTGTGAATATAGAGAGGCCCGGGCTGTTGTTTTCTACAATGTAGGCCTCATACGAGCTCCTGTCAAAGACAGGCGCGTTGTCATTCACATCAGAGATGTGTAACGTGAGAGTGACGCTGCTGGAGAGAGAGGGCACGCCCTCATCTGAACACGTGACTGTGATATTATACTGTGAATCTCTCTCTCGGTCTAATTCACTGTCTGTGATTATGTTATATAGATTATTAGCAGATGATGAAATTGCAAAAGGAATATTTTTATTAATCACACAGTGAACCTTTCCGTTTTCCTCTGAATCGGGGTCGTTCACGTCCATTACAGCTACTACTGTCTCAGAAGGACAATTTTCTAAGATAGATTCAGATGTAGAGATAACGTTAATTATGGGTGTGTTGTCGTTTATGTCAGTTATTTCAATAATAACTTTACTGGAATCAGAGAGACCCCCTCGATCAATTGCCTCAATATCAATCTCATACATTCTAGCTTTTTCATAGTCAATTGGTCCTTTTAGAAATATATTTCCCTTTTGTGTTATTTGGAATACATTTGAGTAGCTCCTCCTTCTATTCCCGATGACATAAGTAACCTCTCCATTGCTGCCTTTGTCTGCGTCGCTGGCGCTGACCTGCGTTATGAGCGTCCCATTTACAGCGTTTTCTTTAATGCTCGCTTTGTAAATGGATTGGCTAAATACGGGAGCATTATCATTTACATCTAACACTGTAATGTGAATAAGCATAGTCCCTGACCGCTGAGGCTCTCCCCCATCTACCGCTGTCAACAGTAACGAAATAATCTCCTCTTTCTCTCTGTCAAGGGACTTTTGCAAAATCATCTCCACCTTTTTACCTCCATCTGTTTGGTCATGCAGTTTGAGAATAAAACTCTCCGTGGGTTTTAGTGTATAACTCTGCAGACCATTTCGTCCTATATCAGGGTCTATCGCTATTTCCAGCATAAATTTAGAACCAACAGCAGCGGATTCACTGATTTCAAATCGCCTTTCCTCTTTATCGAAAGATGGAGGATTGTCGTTAATATCTGTAATCTCAACAGTGATGGGAAATACTTCGATTGGATTTTCTAAAACAATCTGAAAATGTAAAGCACACGGCGTTGTTTGTCCACAAAGGGCCTCACGGTCTATTTTCTCTTTGATGAGGAGGACGCCCCTCTCCTTGTTAAACTGAATGTATTCCTCACTTTCCCCTGTGTGAATACGAGCTTTACGCAACTGCAGCCGCTTAACATCGAGACCCAAATCATGAGCAATATTACCGACCAACGAGCCCTTGGCCATTTCTTCTGGAATAGAGTAACTGATCTGTCCCAGCGCACATCCAACAAAAGCAAACGACAAACACAGCAGCACTTGCCGTCCCATTGTCCTCAATAATAATTCTCCAGAGCGAATTCACCAGTCAGATAATCAAAACGTAACAAAACACCTCAGAATCCAAAAGCCAGGAGGAAAAAAGATACAATCCAAATTATGTTATGTGCTCCACCACGTACGCGTCTGTCTGACTGATTATTGTGGTGTGATGAAGAGGAAGGACTGGCAAAAATACAGGACTACAAACCGCTGTAATGCTGGTGAACAGCGGCCCAGTGAGTTCACAGTATGAAACTGTAAGTGTTGAATATATATATTTTTTTCCTCATTTGAAATAATAATAATAAATAATAATAATAATAATAATAGTTTTGATGTTGTTGTTGTTAATACACACATAGTCTAACTACTAAAACAGTACAGATCAATGGGAGAAAATAGACGAGGTGCTGGATCTTTCGCTATCCAAGGTACTGAAAGCGGACCATAGACAAACCAAAACAATCAAATTCTGCACTACAGTGATAGTAATAACGTGAAATCCTAACCTCTAGAGGAGAATCCGGTTCGTCCAAGATGCTCTTCTCACTCTGTATCCGCTGCATCGTCCCTGTTGAACTGGGATCCATTATCAGCACGTTCTGACTACCAGCTCTGCCAAACTTACAGTCACTCTTTCTGGAGTCTGTGGTCCTGCACGTGTCGTAATTGTACACGTGTGGGAGAGTCGCTGTGCCCAGAGTGTCTGAGTAACGTGGAGGATAATATGGGATCACTGGCAGATTGGAGTGATACAGGATGCGAGACTGTCTCCATCTGTAGATTTTCACTGAGATAATGACCACTACACACGTGATGAACAGAAAGGAGACTACAGCCAGAGCCAGCACTAAGTAAAAAGTCAGGTTGTCATTGTACTCCTTGTCGTGCGTAAAGTCAGTGAACTCAGACAGTACTTCAGGAAAGCTGTCCGCCACCGCCACGTTAACAATGACTGTAGCTGAACGAGAGGGCTGCCCGTTGTCCTCCACTATAACAGTCAGTCTCTGTTTGACTGCATCTTTATCAGTCACTTGGCGGATAGTTCTTATTTCTCCATTCTGTAAGCCCACTTCAAACAGCGCCCTGTCTGCGGCTTTCTGCAGTTTATAGGAGAGCCAGGCATTCTGTCCAGAGTCCACATCCACAGCCACCACTTTAGTGACCAGATAGCCCACATCTGCTGAACGAGGCACCATCTCAGCCACCAGAGAACCCCCAGTCTGGACTGGGTACAGCACCTGAGGGGCGTTATCGTTCTGATCCTGAACCAGGATTTTCACAGTCACATTGCTGCTGAGAGGAGGAGAGCCTCCGTCCTGCGCTTTGACGCAGAACCGGAAATCCTTGATCTGCTCGTAGTCAAAGGAGCGCACTGCATGGATGACTCCGCTATCTGCACTAACGGACACATATGAGGAGACTGGCACTCCGTTAACAGAGGAGTCCTCCAGTATGTAAGAGACACGCGCGTTCTGGTTCCAGTCAGCGTCTGTGGCTTTCACTGTGAATATAGAGAGGCCCGGGCTGTTGTTTTCTACAATGTAGGCCTCATACGAGCTCCTGTCAAAGACAGGCGCGTTGTCATTCACATCAGAGATGTGTAACGTGAGAGTGACGCTGCTGGAGAGAGAGGGCACGCCCTCATCTGAACACGTGACTGTGATATTATACTCAGAGGCTAACTCTCGGTCCAATTCATTGTCTGTTTCCAGCGTATAAAAATTTGCCGTGTTTGACCTAAGTATAAAGCGATCATCGTTCTCACTGAAACAGTGTACTCTACCATTTTCAGCAGAATCGACATCTTCTACTTTAATCATAGACACGGCAGTGTTCGGTTTTGCGTCCTCGGATATCACGTTTGATTTAGTCATTATATAAATATTAGGACGATTATCATTCAAGTCCAATACGTCTACTATTAATTTACAAGAGCCGGTCAGTCCCCCATGGTCACTAGCCCTGATATTAATCTGATATTGTTTGGACACCTCATAGTCAATCTTCCCATTTAATGTAACCTCACCACTTCCTCTATTTATCAAAAATAGATCACGTATTTCGTTTGCCACATTTGTAATCGAATACATAATTTGACCGTTAGATCCATGATCTGCATCTGTAGCAGTGACTTTAACTACCAGAGTGCCGAGGGGCGCATTTTCTTTAATTGATGCTTTATACACAGGCTGTAAAAACACCGGCTCGTTATCATTAAAGTCTAAAACTGTAACTCGTATTTGCATTGTTCCCGACATTTGGGGCACGCCTCCGTCTACTGCTGTCAGAACTAACGATAGATGATCTGTTTTCTCTCTGTCTAAAGGCGCATTTAAAACCATTTCAACATTTCTATTGTCTTCATCACCGTTCATTTTGAGGGAAAATGTATCACTAGGTTTGATAAAATAAGATTTTAAACTGTTGACTCCAACATCTAAATCGGTTGCGGTATCCAAAGTAAAAGATGTGCCTACTAAAGCAGATTCACTGATATTAAATTGTACGTCATTGTTTATAAAGACCGGAGGATTATCATTGACATCTACAATTTCCACAGTCGCACGGTAAAACTCCATGGGATTCTCCAGTAAAATCTGAAAATGCAGAGCACAAGGCATCACTTGTCGACATAGCAGCTCTCTGTCTATCCTATCCTTAATCAAAAGCACTCCCTTTTCTCTGTTCAGCTCAATACATGCAGTACCAGCTCCTGTAAAAACGCGAGCCTTTCCAGACTCGAGTCTTTTGATGTCCAAACCCAAATCTTGAGCTACGTTACCGACAATAGAACCCGGGGCCATTTCCTCAGGGATGGAGTAGCTCAGTTGTCCAAGCACAGTGCAGAAAAAAAAGAGGGCCACAATTAGCACGATTCGATGTTTCATCGTTCCGTTCAGTGCAGTTACTTTAAAAATCCTTTGAGGAAATCACTATCACGATGCCTTCTCAAAATATAACACAACACCGTCTGAAGTATCCACCACAAAAACAAAAAATATTCCAGAGACTCGTCGGTCTTTGTCAGTCACCCGTGTGCTTTAGATGTGCCAACGTCTTTACCACTATTGGAAGGAGGAGGTGCAACTAGACCGTCACTGCTGGAAAACCGGTACTTGGTAAACAGCGTCGCTATGAGTTCAAACACCAAACTGCAACATGCACCAAAGGCTGAAGAGTCACATGAAAAAAATACATCACGCACACTGTGTGTGCAGTGCCAAAGTCAGGTGGGCTGTAAACAAACACCACCCTTTTATATATTATAAACTTGTCTTATCCATTTTATTTTCACTCTAAAATGCTTTAAAAACTTCAAAAACAACTAAGTAAAGTAAGTTCTAGCAATTAAAAAAAATTAAATTAAATCTGGATCCATGATTAAGATATATATATATATATATATATATATATATATATATATATATATATATATATATATATATATATATATATGAAGATTTGATACAAAATATTGTAGAGTTAAACTGCAAATTTTGACTTGAGCAAGGTGCTTAAAATTTGAAATATATGTAGAAAGCCGACATTGTGAAAAAAAAAAAAGTGCACTAAAATTAATTGATATTAAATAATGACACAACAAAGATAATACCCAGTCTGTGTTATTTGATTTTAGTCATAATTAGAACACTTCTGATGATGTAAGACTATATCCATGGTACTGATGGAAAACTTAAAAAAAATTTATTTATTTATTTATTTATTTATTTATTTATTTATTATTATTATTATTATTATTTTACAAACGTCTAATCTCTGAAAGAAAATCTGTATCCGATCCATCAGCTGATTTACTAATATAATGTGCAATTAAATCAGTACATGTGAGTCCAAGCGCATCATTAAATAAAAAAAATACTGCCTCACCAATGTAGAGTTTGTGGATCTCTGATGTCCATTCTGGGCAGAATCAGTCCCGGTGTCATCAACACTGATCAGACTTTGACTCATGGGCTGCATGTATTTAATGTCACTCTTTCTGGAGTCTGTGGTCCTGCACGTGTCGTAATTGTACACGTGTGGGAGAGTCGCTGTGCCCAGAGTGTCTGAGTAACGTGGAGGATAATATGGGATCACTGGCAGATTGGAGTGATACAGGATGCGAGACTGTCTCCATCTGTAGATTTTCACTGAGATAATGACCACTACACACGTGATGAACAGAAAGGAGACTACAGCCAGAGCCAGCACTAAGTAAAAAGTCAGGTTGTCATTGTACTCCTTGTCGTGCGTAAAGTCAGTGAACTCAGACAGTACTTCAGGAAAGCTGTCCGCCACCGCCACGTTAACAATGACTGTAGCTGAACGAGAGGGCTGCCCGTTGTCCTCCACTATAACAGTCAGTCTCTGTTTGACTGCATCTTTATCAGTCACTTGGCGGATAGTTCTTATTTCTCCATTCTGTAAGCCCACTTCAAACAGCGCCCTGTCTGCGGCTTTCTGCAGTTTATAGGAGAGCCAGGCATTCTGTCCAGAGTCCACATCCACAGCCACCACTTTAGTGACCAGATAGCCCACATCTGCTGAACGAGGCACCATCTCAGCCACCAGAGAACCCCCAGTCTGGACTGGGTACAGCACCTGAGGGGCGTTATCGTTCTGATCCTGAACCAAGATCTTCACTGGGACCACTGAGCTCAGAGGAGGAGAGCCAGAGTCACGAGCTGTTACATTAAATATAACCTTCTTTATTTGCTCATAATCAAATGACTTTGCTGCAGAAATTATGCCATTTTCTGAACTCAGGGACACTAAAGAAGACAGAGACGCCCCATTAATTTCCCTTTCCTCTAAGAAGTATAAAATCCGAGCGTTTTGGCCCCAGTCTGCATCAGTCGCACGTACAGTGAAAATAGAAAATCCAGGTGAGTTATTCTCAGGTATTGTTCTACTATATTCTGATTCGTCAAACTTTGGGGGGTTGTCATTGACGTCGGAAACTTTGACCTGAATTGTTTTTCTGTTTGAAAGCGGCGGGGAGCCTTGATCAGTCACTGTTAGAGTAATATTATATTCTGAGACACTCTCTCTGTCTAACGCGTCATCAGTCACTATTGTATAATAACCAGACAATGAAGATTCAATTTTAAAAGGTAAATCAGAACTAATAGAACATTCTACTACACCGTTTCTCTCTGAGTCGTCGTCATGAACATTAATCACAGCTAAAGTTGTGCCTGGAGGGGCATCCTCGGAGATTGTGCTTGAAAATGACATGAGCTGAATAACAGGAGAGTTATCATTCACGTCAGTTACTTGGATAATCACTTTACATGTGTCAGAATAGCCTCCGTGGTCACTAGCCCGAACGTTCAATTGATATGACTTAAAAACTTCATAATCTAAATTGCCAGTGATTTTAATTTCTCCTGTTTTACTATTTACGTTAAATAACTGCTTAGCTTCTCTTGATACGCGAGAAAATGAAAAAACTACTTCACCATTGACTCCTGTATCTGCGTCAGTGGCGCTGACGGTGGTGACCACAGTTCCTATTGCAGAGTTTTCTTGAACCTCAGCTTTATACACCTGTTTACTACAGACTGGTGCATTATCGTTCGCGTCTAGTACAGTGATGTGAATACGTGCTGTTCCTGATCTCTGAGGTGCGCCTCCATCTGAAGCGACCAAAATCAGTGTATGTTCCTCATTTTTCTCTCGATCTAAAGGCGTTTCCAAAACCATCTCAACAAACTGACTCCCGTCAGACTGTGTTTGCATTTCAAGTTTAAAATGATCCGACGGTTTTAGGGTGTATCTTTGAATATCATTGACACCTACATCCGAATCGTCAGCTGTGTCTAACGAATAACGAGTGCCTGGTGAAACATTTTCAGCAATTTTTAAAACGATGTCATCTTTTGGAAAAGCTGGAGTATTGTCGTTCACATCTGTTACCTCCACAGTGACTCGATACAGCTGAATTGGATTCTCCAGAATCACCTCAAAACTAAAACTGCAGGGCGTTGATTTCTCACACAGCTCCTCTCGGTCGATTCGCTCTTTAACAACAAGGATGCCTTTGTCTCGATTTAAATCCACATATTGTCGACTTTCTTTAGTCACAATGCGAGCGTTCCCCGAGACCAGTCTTTGCACATCTATTCCCAAATCTCCAGCAATATTTCCAACGAAAGATCCCTCCGCCTGCTCTTCGGGAACAGAGTAACGAGCCTGTCCACACACGGACCTCAGCGTAAAGAGACAAAGGAGCGTGAGCCACTGCTCTCTTTGCACGATTTCTCTCAGTGATGCCATTTTGAGAATGAATCCGGGAGAAAAAACTGTTGTAGTCCGTTTAAAATATTTAGAAGAAAGCAATAGCGAAACGAATAAAACCAAAGGGAGTCCCGGCAGTATGAAACCACCGTCCTCTGTACCAATATACAGAGTGACGAATAAGAGGAGGATCATGAGGCAGGACAACAGCCGACAGTCAACAGCGGCGCTCAGAGTCCTAACGGGGTAATGTCCCCTGTCAAATGATTTACACATTAGTCTTATAAAAAAAACAAACAGACCAATGAATACGGGCTCTGAAAAAGCTCTATTTACTAATAGCCTATAATATTTAAATCAATGAAAACAATCCAAATGATTATAGTTGTTAATTTTATGTTTTCCACAGTTTTATTTCTTGACGTTGGTGACGTTATGGTAATATATTATTAGACACTTATAATTTTATATTAGTGTTATATTTAAAAAATATTAGTTAATGAGGATTATTATATCAAATGTAGGGAGTAGTTGTGAAAAATGATTTCATACAATACCGTTTCAGTACCAGAGACAGCGTTTACGACACAGTAAATCAAGCGGAAAAAAATATACGAAATACTCACCAGGGTTGACATATTGGAGCCTGCAAATTGTTTCTCTAATTGTTGGGCGTCAGTTTCAGCTCCCCCAACGTCCAGTAAACTTTGACTCATGGGCTGCATGTATTTAATGTCACTCTTTCTGGAGTCTGTGGTCCTGCACGTGTCGTAATTGTACACGTGTGGGAGAGTCGCTGTGCCCAGAGTGTCTGAGTAACGTGGAGGATAATATGGGATCACTGGCAGATTGGAGTGATACAGGATGCGAGACTGTCTCCATCTGTAGATTTTCACTGAGATAATGACCACTACACACGTGATGAACAGAAAGGAGACTACAGCCAGAGCCAGCACTAAGTAAAAAGTCAGGTTGTCATTGTACTCCTTGTCGTGCGTAAAGTCAGTGAACTCAGACAGTACTTCAGGAAAGCTGTCCGCCACCGCCACGTTAACAATGACTGTAGCTGAACGAGAGGGCTGCCCGTTGTCCTCCACTATAACAGTCAGTCTCTGTTTGACTGCATCTTTATCAGTCACTTGGCGGATAGTTCTTATTTCTCCATTCTGTAAGCCCACTTCAAACAGCGCCCTGTCTGCGGCTTTCTGCAGTTTATAGGAGAGCCAGGCATTCTGTCCAGAGTCCACATCCACAGCCACCACTTTAGTGACCAGATAGCCCACATCTGCTGAACGAGGCACCATCTCAGCCACCAGAGAACCCCCAGTCTGGACTGGGTACAGCACCTGAGGGGCGTTATCGTTCTGATCCTGAACCAGGATTTTCACAGTCACATTGCTGCTGAGAGGAGGAGAGCCTCCGTCCTGCGCTTTGATTACGCACACAAACTCTTTAGTTTGTTCATAATCAAATGAGCGCGCGGCACTAATAACTCCGTTTTCTGAATTAACAGAGATATAACCAGAAACAGGAGAGCCACCAATGTCACACTCCTCTAAAATATATGACACATGCGCGTTCTGGTTTTCATCCGGGTCTTTGGCAACGACACTTAGCACAGAAAAACCAGGTGAGTTATTTTCTGTTATAGCGGCGCTGTAGACCACATGTGTGAACATCGGAGGGCTGTCATTCACATCTGAAATCTTTATATTGAAAGTTTTATTAGCTGAAAGTGGAGGTTTTCCAGAGTCTGAGGCAATTACTGTAATGTTAAATTCTGATAAAGTCTCTCGATCAAATGGTGCATTGGATACAAGTGCATAGTAGTTTCTAACATTAAATTTGATTTCAACAGCAGTTCCAACCACTGTGCACCTCACCTGTCCATTCTCATCCGAATCTAAATCTTTTACATTAATTATACCGATGGTGGTGCCCACGGGAGCGTCTTCTGAAACTGGAGTGGTGAACGACATGACGTTAATAACAGGCACATTATCATTTTCGTCAATTATATCTATTTCTACTTTACTTGTGTCGGTTTGCCCACCTTGGTCTTTAGCTTCAACCCTAAACTCTATTTTCTTGTCTTTTTCAAAGTCAATATCGTTAGCGACAGAAATACTCCCAGTGAACTCATTTATTTCAAAGAAGTCAGACATGGGAGCATTTGATTTGGAAAAAGAATATGTCACTTGACCATTTGGTCCACTGTCTAGGTCACTAGCATTTACCGTAACGACATGTGTGCCTTTGGGAGAATTTTCCGTCACAGATGCTTTATAAATACTCTGATTAAACACAGGGGCGTTGTCATTGGCATCTAACACCACTACATTTATATTTACTGTACCAGATCTCTGCGGACTTCCTCCATCCACAGCCACCAGTTTAAGATTAAGGTGCGACTGTTTCTCTCTGTCTAATGCCTTCTGAAGCACCATTTGAATGTAGTTACTGCCGTCTTTGTCAAGATGCTGCTTAAAAACAAAATTTTCAGATGGGGTCAAGATATATTTTCGCAATGAATTTTCTCCTACATCAGCATCCCGTGCAGCTTCCAAATCAAAACGTGATCCAAGTGTAGCCAATTCACTAATTTCAAAATCCAAGCGTTTACTCTGAAAAGTAGGAGCATTGTCGTTTACATCCAGCACCTCTATAGTCACAGGGTGTAACTCCATCGGGTTTTCCAGTAAAATCTCAAACGTGAAGCTGCAGGGCGTCACGTCTCCACAGAGCTGCTCTCTGTCTATCCTCTCATTCACCACCAGAGTCCCTTTGTCTGTCTTCAGCTCGGCGTACTGAACATTTTCTCCAGTCACGATACGAGCTCGGCCAGAACGAAGCCTTTTTATGTCCAAACCCAAGTCCTGTGCAACGTTACCAATAAGAGAGCCCTTCCTCATCTCCTCTGGGATTGAGTAGCGGATCTGTGCGTCGACTTGAATCAAAAATAACATCAAGAAAATACACGACGACATTGCTTCGAAAGAAAGCACGAAGAATTATCTAATGATGTAATGTAAGACGTTTAAATAGTCCAAATGCCATGACGAAGAAAAATTGTCCAATCAATCCACGTTAACAGAACTGCATACAATGTTAGATCTCTAACTTCATCGGGCTGTAGCGATGAAAGCAGTCTGAAAATCTGATGTGTTCCTCGAGACAAAACGCAGTGATGGGAGGGAATAATACAAATCACAAAACGTTCTCAACAACTCACAGGACAACAGCGTCACTATGAGGCCAAACACAAAAACTACTGGCCAGAGGCTTAGTTGGACGTATAATATAACTGGCAACAAGCAGATTCGCCTTTGCAAAGGTCATATTAAACGATAAAGCAGTACAACAGCAGAGTATAAAAACATATTTAAGAAGTAATTACCAGAGCAAGTTTTTAAATAATAACAATAATAAAACAAAGAATGACATGTAAGTGCCAGAGCTAAACATTTATGTAAATTATTGCAGAAAAAAGTAATAATTTGCCCCCCCATTTTTTATTTTTATTTTTATTTTTTTAATCTACATAAAAAAAATTAAATTTAATTAAATTTTTAAAAAAGTGATCATTTTACAATTATGTATGTAACTTATTTGATGGAAATGGAAAGGCTGACAATGTAAAAAATTACAGACGTTTGACCATAATTGGCTCCAGAACTTAAACTAAAAATATCAGCACCATGGACAGTGGGACAGGGCACGGTTTTGAAGGAGTTTATGCAAAAGAGGACAATGAAGTCGAAAAAATGTAGACTGATTTTGGATTTAGATGAACTGAAAACGTACAAATGTAACTGCTCAACCAAAAGTAAAAACGGATTAGATGAATTAACAGTAATTTATAGTATAGTAACATACTGTATTTGTAAGAGTTTGGATAACTAAAGCCTTCATAAAGTAATCATTTGGGATATATATATATATATATATATATATATATATATATATATATATATATATATACACACACACACACACAGACACACACACACAACGTAACAACGTAATCAGAACGTGTTTGTCCAAGCGCATCATTAAAATAAACAAAATAGTGCCTCACCAATGTAGAGTTTGTGGATCTCTGATGTCCATTCTGCGCAGAATCAATCTCGACGTCATCAACACTGACCAGACTTTGACTCATGGGCTGCATGTATTTAATGTCACTCTTTCTGGAGTCTGTGGTCCTGCACGTGTCGTAATTGTACACGTGTGGGAGAGTCGCTGTGCCCAGAGTGTCTGAGTAACGTGGAGGATAATATGGGATCACTGGCAGATTGGAGTGATACAGGATGCGAGACTGTCTCCATCTGTAGATTTTCACTGAGATAATGACCACTACACACGTGATGAACAGAAAGGAGACTACAGCCAGAGCCAGCACTAAGTAAAAAGTCAGGTTGTCATTGTACTCCTTGTCGTGCGTAAAGTCAGTGAACTCAGACAGTACTTCAGGAAAGCTGTCCGCCACCGCCACGTTAACAATGACTGTAGCTGAACGAGAGGGCTGCCCGTTGTCCTCCACTATAACAGTCAGTCTCTGTTTGACTGCATCTTTATCAGTCACTTGGCGGATAGTTCTTATTTCTCCATTCTGTAAGCCCACTTCAAACAGCGCCCTGTCTGCGGCTTTCTGCAGTTTATAGGAGAGCCAGGCATTCTGTCCAGAGTCCACATCCACAGCCACCACTTTAGTGACCAGATAGCCCACATCTGCTGAACGAGGCACCATCTCAGCCACCAGAGAACCCCCAGTCTGGACTGGGTACAGCACCTGAGGGGCGTTATCGTTCTGATCCTGAACCAGGATTTTCACAGTCACATTGCTGCTGAGAGGAGGAGAGCCTCCGTCCTGCGCTTTGACGCAGAACCGGAAATCCTTGATCTGCTCGTAGTCAAAGGAGCGCACTGCATGGATGACTCCGCTATCTGCACTAACGGACACATATGAGGAGACTGGCACTCCGTTAACAGAGGAGTCCTCCAGTATGTAAGAGACACGCGCGTTCTGGTTCCAGTCAGCGTCTGTGGCTTTCACTGTGAATATAGGAGAGGCCCGGGCTGTTGTTTTCTACAATGTAGGCCTCATACGAGCTCCTGTCAAAGACAGGCGCGTTGTCATTCACATCAGAGATGTGTAACGTGAGAGTGACGCTGCTGGAGAGAGAGGGCACGCCCTCATCTGAACACGTGACTGTGATGTTATGCTGTGGGTTCTGTTCTCTGTCTAAAGTGACTTCTGAAACAATAGAATAAAACTCATTTGAGGTGGATTTTATTTTAAAGGGAGCGTACATTTGTATACTACACTCCACCTTTCCATTGTTTTCTGAATCAGGGTCATTTACACTTAACATAGCTATCACTGTTTCGGGGGGTGAATTCTCTACAACTGCGTTTGCTTTAGAAACTATGTTAATATTGGGCGCATTATCATTCACGTCAACTACATCAACTATTACTTTTGTAGAGTCTGACATGCCACCACTGTCCACAGCTTCAACGTCCAATTCATAGGTTGACGTTTTTTCATAGTCAAGTTCCCCAGTCAAAACAATCCCTCCACTTTTGTTATCAATTGTAAATAGTTGTGATAAGTGTGGTTTATTAGTTGAAACTCGGTATGTAACATCGGCATTTACGCCTATATCTTTGTCTGACGCACTAACACTTACAACACTAGTACCGATTAAAGAGTTCTCCAGTATTTTTGCTCTGTACAATGGTCTGGAGAAAACAGGTGCGTTGTCGTTCACGTCTAGCACAGTCACAAATATCTGCATTGTTCCCGACATCTGCGGCTCCCCTCCGTCTGTAGCGGTTAATAGTAATGGGATATGCGCCTGTTTTTCCCGATCTAAAGCTTTCTGTAAAACCATCTCCACCTTTTTACCACCAACCTCGCTCTTCTCCCATTTCAGAGCGAAATTGTCCACAGGACTCAGTACATAATTTTGTAATCCGTTTCTCCCAATATCGGCGTCATTAGCTCCATCTAAAATGAATTTAGATCCTAATATTGCTGACTCGCTGATCTCAAATCGTTTTTCTGCATTGGTGAAACTCGGGTAGTTGTCGTTTATATCTGTAATTTCTACTGTAATTCGAAACATTTCCATCGGATTTTCCAAAATTAACTGAAAATCTAAAGCACAAGGCGTCGTCTCACCGCAGAACGCCTCTCTGTCGATCCTCTCCTGGATAAACAGGACTCCTCTTTCTTTATTCAGACCGATGTATTCGACATTGTTTCCCGTATATACACGTGCTTTTCCTGATTTGAGTCGTTTCAAATCTATGCCCAAATCCTGCGCTATGTTTCCAACTACAGAGCCTTTGGGCATTTCTTCAGGAACGGAGTAACTGACCTGAGCGAACACCGAGTCCAGGCACAAAACACAGAGCAACAGCAGTGATTGAGATCCCATTGTCAAACCCATTGTCGCCGCAAAGACTGTAATCCACATAGAATAAAAGTTGGGAAAAAAGATAAATTGTACTCATTAAAGTGTTACAGCAAAATCAACATAAACAATAATTGGTGATAATATTCCGTCGGAAAGCATAGATCTACAATCGCGTCTCCTCCGTCTGCTTTGACTCAAGCGAGATAGAAGAAAAGGGTGGCCCACAAAGCAATGTTCCCAACTCGCGAGTCAACAGCGACACTTTGAGTACAATTAGAAAATTACAAGTCACAAAGTACAAGATGCAGAAGAATAAACAAAACAATATTGCTACCAGAGTGGAGAAACTAAATTATTCATCTTCAGAAAACAAGAAAATAGGTATAACACTGTCCAAGGTGCTGAAAATATATAAACAAATGCAATATGTAACTGAAACCATTGGGCAATTTAATAAAAGAAATGTGGATTTTGAATAAAGTTTCAAACCTCTAGAGGAGAGTCTGGTTCGTCCAGGATGCTCTTCTCACTCTGTATCCGCTGCATCGTCCCTGTTGAACTGGGATCCATTATCAGCACGTTCTGACTACCAGCTCTGCCAAACTTACAGTCACTCTTTCTGGAGTCTGTGGTCCTGCACGTGTCGTAATTGTACACGTGTGGGAGAGTCGCTGTGCCCAGAGTGTCTGAGTAACGTGGAGGATAATATGGGATCACTGGCAGATTGGAGTGATACAGGATGCGAGACTGTCTCCATCTGTAGATTTTCACTGATATAATGACCACTACACACGTGATGAACAGAAAGGAGACTACAGCCAGAGCCAGCACTAAGTAAAAAGTCAGGTTGTCATTGTACTCCTTGTCGTGCGTAAAGTCAGTGAACTCAGACAGTACTTCAGGAAAGCTGTCCGCCACCGCCACGTTAACAATGACTGTAGCTGAACGAGAGGGCTGCCCGTTGTCCTCCACTATAACAGTCAGTCTCTGTTTGACTGCATCTTTATCAGTCACTTGGCGGATAGTTCTTATTTCTCCATTCTGTAAGCCCACTTCAAACAGCGCCCTGTCTGCGGCTTTCTGCAGTTTATAGGAGAGCCAGGCATTCTGTCCAGAGTCCACATCCACAGCCACCACTTTAGTGACCAGATAGCCCACATCTGCTGAACGAGGCACCATCTCAGCCACCAGAGAACCCCCAGTCTGGACTGGGTACAGCACCTGAGGGGCGTTATCGTTCTGATCCTGAACCAGGATTTTCACAGTCACATTGCTGCTGAGAGGAGGAGAGCCTCCGTCCTGCGCTTTGATTACGCACACAAACTCTTTGGTTTGTTCATAATCAAATGAGCGCGCGGCACTAATAACTCCGTTTTCTGAATTGACAGATATATAACCAGAAACAGGAGAGCCACCAATGTCACACTCCTCTAAAATATATGACACATGCGCGTTCTGGTTTTCATCCGGGTCTTTAGCAACGACACTTAGCACAGAAAAGCCAGGGGAGTTATTCTCAGTTATAGTAGTACTGTAGAGCGTACTTGAGAACACTGGAGAGTTATCATTCACATCAGAGACCTTTAGATGAAACATCTGTGTTGCAGAGAGTGAAGGCTTTCCTGAGTCTGAGGCGATCACTGTGATGTTAAATTCTGACAAACGCTCCCGGTCTAATGGGGCATTGGTAACCAGCGCGTAATAGTTTCTAACACTGACTTTTATTTCGACAGGAGCGTTTCCTTCAACTGTGCATCTCACCAGTCCGTTTTCATTTGAATCCAAGTCTTTAACATTAATTATACCGATGGTTGTCCCTACGGGAGAGTCCTCGGACACAGGACTAGTAAAAGACATTAAGTTAATCAATGGTGCATTATCGTTAACGTCAGTAATATGTATTTCAACTTCACAAGTGTCAGTGAGTCCACCTTGGTCTTTGGCTTCTACCCTAAACACGAACGTATTATCCTTTTCATAATCCATGTTTTTTTCCACAAAAATTGTTCCAGTAATTTGATCTATGTTAAAGTAACCGCCTTTTGGCGGCTTAGATTTTGAAAAAGAGTATGTTACTTTTCCGTTTGCCCCCATGTCAATATCACTGGCGTTTACTGTAACAACATGTGTGCCTTTGGAAGAATTTTCAGGCACAGATGTTTTATAAATACTTTGATTAAACACAGGAGCGTTATCATTGACATCTAAGACAACTATATTGATATTTACTGTGCCAGATCTCTGCGGAGTTCCTCCATCCACAGCCACTAATTTGAGGTTAAGGCGCGGTTCTTTTTCTCTGTCTAACGAATTTTGTAGGACCATCACACTATATTTCGTACCGTCAGGATTAACGTGCTGCTTTAAAACGAAATTATCATTTGCAGTCAAAATATAGTTTTGTAAGCCATTTCCCCCCACATCGGCATCGCCTGCTGCCTCCAAGTCAAAGCGCGATCCTATTATTGCTGTTTCACCAATTTCAAAATCCAGTTGTTCACTCTGAAAAGTAGGAGCGTTGTCGTTTATGTCCAGCACCTCTATAGTCACAGGGTGTAACTCCATCGGGTTTTCCAGTAAAATCTCAAACGTGAAGCTGCAGGGCGTCACGTCTCCACAGAGCTGCTCTCTGTCTATCCTCTCATTCACCACCAGAGTCCCTTTGTCTGTCTTCAGCTCGGCGTACTGAACATTTTCTCCAGTCACGATACGAGCTCGGCCAGAACGAAGCCTTTTTATGTCCAAACCCAAGTCCTGTGCAACGTTACCAATAAGAGAGCCCTTCCTCATCTCCTCTGGGATTGAGTAGCGGATCTGTGCGTCGACTTGAATCAAAATTAACATCATGAAAATACACGACGATATAGCTTGTACAGATGGCACAAAAAATGATGTTACACGTTGAAATAGTCCAAATGCCATGGTGAAAACAAACAAATCACAATAATCCACGTTAACAGAACTACATACAGTATTAGGTTTCCAGTTTTCCGTTGTGGCGATGGACGCGGACTGAAAACCTGTGCCACTGGAGACAAAACGCAGTGATGGGAGGGAATAACACAGACCCACAGAACGCTCTAAACGACTCACAGGACAACAGCGTCACTGTGAGGCCAAACACAGAAACTATTGGACAAAAACGTGGGCGAATACAGTAACGGGAAACAAACGGATTGGATTTTGCTCTTGGTGTATTAAATTATATGGCAAAACCATTACCATGTATATTATTTATTATTGTAACTACTTATTTAATGTAAGTAATTACTAGAAAATATAGCAGTTAATAGCAACATTTAAACAAATAATGGCATGTTATATCAAAATATTTCAATTTATTACTGCAGAAAAATAGCACAAGTTTGACCAAAAATGGCATTTTGTGTTATGTAACCACATAAAGCAGTCCAAACTCCGAAGTGACAATTTGGCATTCATGCATTTATATTTATGATGACGAGGGGAACTCTGAAAACATAACATAACAAAAAAAAAAAAAAAAAAAAAAAAAAAAAAAAAAGTTTGACTGTCGCTGGCTCCAGAACTTTAAAACAAGCAGCACCATGGACAGTGCACAGCTTAGAAAAACTACACGTAGAACATGACTGTATTTTATTAGTATTTACTTTAGTTTAGTTTGGTTATTTAATGAGACATGGGAAGTGCACAATATACATTAACCTTAACAGGTTAAATGCATTGCATCAGGTTGTAGCGCAAGTGCTAATTTCCACCTGTAGTCCCTGGGCCGGTTGATGTGTAGGAAAAATGTATACTGCATAAATTACATTACTAATAGTATTTAAGGGAAATTATTTTAATGAGAATATAAAGCTAAACAAAGCTCTGATAAAGTGGACGTAAAAGGGCCTGACTCAAACAAATTTAGAAGTATAATGTGTATATGCAGTAAAATATCTATGTGTTTGTCCAAGCAAATCATTAAAATAAAAATAGTGCCTCACCAATGTAGAGTTTGTGGATCTCTGATGTTCATTCTGCGCAGAATCAGTCCCGATGTCATCAACACTGACCAGACTTTGACTCATGGGCTGCATGTATTTAATGTCACTCTTTCTGGAGTCTGTGGTCCTGCACGTGTCGTAATTGTACACGTGTGGGAGAGTCGCTGTGCCCAGAGTGTCTGAGTAACGTGGAGGATAATATGGGATCACTGGCAGATTGGAGTGATACAGGATGCGAGACTGTCTCCATCTGTAGATTTTCACTGAGATAATGACCACTACACACGTGATGAACAGAAAGGAGACTACAGCCAGAGCCAGCACTAAGTAAAAAGTCAGGTTGTCATTGTACTCCTTGTCGTGCGTAAAGTCAGTGAACTCAGACAGTACTTCAGGAAAGCTGTCCGCCACCGCCACGTTAACAATGACTGTAGCTGAACGAGAGGGCTGCCCGTTGTCCTCCACTATAACAGTCAGTCTCTGTTTGACTGCATCTTTATCAGTCACTTGGCGGATAGTTCTTATTTCTCCATTCTGTAAGCCCACTTCAAACAGCGCCCTGTCTGCGGCTTTCTGCAGTTTATAGGAGAGCCAGGCATTCTGTCCAGAGTCCACATCCACAGCCACCACTTTAGTGACCAGATAGCCCACATCTGCTGAACGAGGCACCATCTCAGCCACCAGAGAACCCCCAGTCTGGACTGGGTACAGCACCTGAGGGGCGTTATCGTTCTGATCCTGAACCAGGATCTTAACTGAGACCACTGAGCTCAGAGGAGGAGAGCCAGAGTCACGAGCTGTTACATTAAAATCAAATTTCTTTACTTGCTCATAATCAAAGGATTTGACTGCAGAAATTACGCCATTTTCTGAATTCAGCGACACTAAAGAAGACAGAGACGCACCATTAATTTCCATTTCCTCCAGGAAGTATGAAATCCGGGCGTTTTGGCCCCAGTCTGCATCAGTCGCACGTACAGTGAATATAGAAAATCCAGGTGAGTTATTCTCAGGTATTGTTCTACTATATTCTGATTCGTCAAACTTTGGGGGGTTGTCATTGACGTCGGAAACTTTGACCTGAATTGTTTTTCTGTTTGAAAGCGGCGGGGAGCCTTGATCAGTCACTGTTAGAGTAATATTATATTCTGAGACACTCTCTCTGTCTAACGCGTCATCAGTCACTATTGTATAATAACCAGACAATGAAGATTCAATTTTAAAAGGTAAATCAGAACTAATAGAACATTCTACTACACCGTTTCTCTCTGAGTCGTCGTCATGAACATTAATCACAGCTAAAGTTGTGCCTGGAGGGGCATCCTCGGAGATTGTGCTTGAAAATGACATGAGCTGAATAACAGGAGAGTTATCATTCACGTCAGTTACCTGGATAATCACGCTGCATGTGTCAGAATAGCTTCCGTGGTCACTAGCCCGAACGTTCAATTGATGAGACTTTGATTTTTCATAATCTAATTTACCCGTGATTGTAATTTCTCCTGTTTTGGCATTTATGCCAAACAGTTGCTTGGCCTCTTTACTGACGTGAGCAAATGAAAATGTAACGTCACTATTGACTCCTGTATCTGCGTCAGTGGCGCTGACGGTGGTGACCACAGTTCCTATTGCAGAGTTTTCTTGAACCTCAGCTTTATACACCTGTTTACTACAGACTGGTGCATTATCATTTATATCTAGTACAGTGATGTGAATACGTGCTGTTCCTGATCTCTGAGGTGCGCCTCCATCTGAAGCGACCAAAGTCAGTGTATGTTCCTCATTTTTCTCTCGATCTAAAGGCGTTTCCAAAATCATCTCAACAAATTGACTCCCATCAGGGCGACTCTGTGTTTCCAATTTAAAATGATCATTAGGTTTTAGTGTGTATTTTTGAATATCATTAATACCTACATCCAAATCATCAGCTCGTTCCAACGCAAACCGTGTCCCTGGTGCAGCAGTTTCAACTATATTCAAATGTAATACGTCTTTGGCAAACGCTGGAGTATTGTCGTTCACATCTGTTACCTCCACAGTGACTCGATACAGCTGAATTGGATTCTCCAGAATCACCTCAAAACTAAAACTGCAGGGCGTTGTTTTCTCACACAGCTCCTCTCGGTCGATTCGCTCTTTAACAACAAGGATGCCTTTGTCTCGATTTAAATCCACATAATTGTCGACTTTCTTTAGTCACAATGCGAGCGTTCCCCGAGACCAGTCTTTGCACATCTATTCCCAAATCTCCAGCAATATTTCCAACGAAAGATCCCTCCGTCTGTTCTTCGGGAACAGAGTAACGAGCCTGTCCACACACGGACCTCAGCGTAAAGAGACAAAGAACCAGGCCGAGCCACTGCCCTCTGTGAGAGACTCCCTTCAATGAAGCCATTGCAGATATTTACAAATATGAGAAATCCGTTTAAAATATTTAAAGAGAATAATATCCAACAGCATAAAAGCTACAATGAATCCCGCAGTCTGAAACGACCGTCCTCTAGAACAGTAAATGTGAAATGTAGAATAGAGGGAGGATCGTTGCACAATATTACACTCTACAGTCAACAGCGGCGCTCAGAGTCCAGACGGGGTAATGTATCCAGATGGAATAAATTATTATTAAGAAGAAAATAATTATTTAATTCATTTTTAAAATATATTACTGGAGAATGCGCCATTAGACTTAATATTTTCTCAAATTTTAAATATATATTTTTTTAATTTTCCTGATTGATTTCTTCAGTAAGTGGTGATCTGATAGTATTAGCGTACTACATGACTATATTGTAGCATAGTAGTGTTACATATTAAATTGTAATGGGTTTTAATAATTAGTAAATCAAATAAGGCCAATACCTGAATAAAAGAGACTTGTACATTTCACCTAAACTGATCTGGAGATTTTCAGCACCAGAGACAGCGTTCTGGACCCACACTGCAGCAGCAAGAAATAGCTTTATTCAAAGTACTCACCAGAGTTGACATATTGGAGCCTGCAAACTGTTTCTCAAATGTTGGGCTTCAGAATCGGTTCCACCAACGTCCAGTAAACTTTGACTCATGGGCTGCATGTATTTAATGTCACTCTTTCTGGAGTCTGTGGTCCTGCACGTGTCGTAATTGTACACGTGTGGGAGAGTCGCTGTGCCCAGAGTGTCTGAGTAACGTGGAGGATAATATGGGATCACTGGCAGATTGGAGTGATACAGGATGCGAGACTGTCTCCATCTGTAGATTTTCACTGAGATAATGACCACTACACACGTGATGAACAGAAAGGAGACTACAGCCAGAGCCAGCACTAAGTAAAAAGTCAGGTTGTCATTGTACTCCTTGTCGTGCGTAAAGTC